ACTGGGGACACTCCCTGTCTGTCTGGGGACATTATGGTCTGGATGGGGAACCTCCCTGTCTGGGGCTGGGTGAACCACTGTCTGGGCTGAGGAACATCCCTGTCTGGCTGGGGACACTCCTGTCTTGGTGGGGGAGTTCCCTGTCTGGTCTGGAGACACTCCTGTTCTGGGCTGGTGACACTCCTGTTTGGTCTGGGGATCCTGTCTGGTCTGTTAGGACACTCCTGGTCTGGGGCGTGTTGACATCTGTTGGTCTGGGGGAACACTCCCTGGTCTGGTCTGGAGGACACCTCCCTGGGTTGGGACTGGTGACACTCCTGTTAGGTCTGGAGACACTCCCTGTCTGGACTGGGTGAACTTCCCTGTCTGGGCTGGGTGACATTCCTGGTTGGGTGGGGGACACTCCCTGTCTGGGCGTGGGGGACACTCCCTGTCTGGGATGGGACACTCCCTGTCTGGGCTGGGGGAACTCCCTGGTCTTGGGCTGGGGGAACTCCTGGTCTGGGCTGGGGGACACTCCCTTCTGGGCTGGGGGACACTCCTGGTCATGGGCTGGGGGACACTCCCTGTCTCGGGGGGCTGGGTGGACATCATTCTGGGATGGGCGGACATCCTGTCTGGGCTGGGGAACACTCCCTGTCTGGGCTGGGGAACAATCCCTGTTGGGCTGGGTGACACTCCTGGGGTCTGGGACTGGGGGACACTCCCTGTCTGGGAACTGTGGGGACACTCCTGTCATGGGCTGGGGGGACACTCCTGTCTGGGGCTGGGGGAACACTCCCTGTCTGGCTGGGTGACACTCCCTGTCTGGACTGGGGGGACAACTCCCTTGTCTGGGCTGGGGACACTCCCTGTCTGGGCTGGGGGAACACGTCCCTGTCTTGGGCTTGGGAACACTCTGTCTGCGGCTGGGTGGACACTCCCTGTCTGGACTGGGGAACACTCCCTGTCTGGAACTGGGGGACACTTCCCTGTCTGGCTGGGGACACTCCCTGTCTGGGGCTGGGAAACATCCCTGTCTGGGCTTGGGAACACTCCTGTTGGGGGCTGGGGTGACACTCCTGTCTGGTCTGGGGACACTCCCTGTCTGTGGCTGGGGTGACATCCCTGTCTGGGCTGGGGGACGTTCCCTGCTGGGCTGAGGGCACTCCTGTCTGGTCTGGGGACATTCCCTGTCTGACCGGGGACACTCCTGTCTGCGTCTGGGGACATCCCTGTCTGGATGGAGGAAACAACTCCCTGTCTGGCTGAGGAACACTCCCTGTCTGGGCTGGGGGACCTCCCTGTCTGGGCGGGGGAATCTTTTTTTTTCTGGGGGACACTCCCTGTCTGGGCTGGGGGACACTCCCTGTCTGGACTGGAGGACACTCCCTGTCTGGACTGGGGGACACTCCCTGTCTGGGCTGGGGGACACTCCCTGTCTGGGCTGGGTGACACTCCCTGTCTGGTCTGGGGGACACTCCCTGTCTGGGCTGGGTGACATTCCCTGTCTGGGCTGGGGGACACTCCCTGTCTGGGCTGGGGGACACTCCCTGTCTGGGCTGGGGGACACTCCCTGTCTGGGCTGGGCATACTCTGGCCTCACAAGGAGCCGTGTGCACCCTGAGAGCCATTGTCCATGAACAGCTCAGGCAGATGGGCTCATGGCAACTGTCACCAGCGAACGGAAGCTAGAAATAGCATCGCTGTGCACACCTGGACTGACTTAAGCAAGTTCTGTTTTCGTATCTGCTAGTACAGCCTTTCACCTGGGCTCATCTCTGAGCCTGTCTCCTTCACTTCAGAAGCAAAGTGTTGGTCACCTGCATGCACTCACATACCGTCATGGCCGTGGCGCCTCCCACACCCTCCCCGTCACCTCGGGCAGCTGCCTGTGGCTCCAGCTGCTCATGGTGCCTTCCAGAGAAGCACAGGCCATGTGACGCATGACAGGGCCTCACTGCAATCGCCTGGACGTGAGCCTTGGCTATATGGCAGGCACCACTCCCAAAGTGTGCTGGATTGACTTTCTTTATCGTTTTATTTTAATTGATAATGTCTATCTGGATACATCAGATTATAATGGCTCAGAACTTCTCTGACGTGCTAGGAAATGAGGGTGTTTATTGCCAGGTCAGACCTGCGTGCAAGCTCTGTGGGAGCTGACAACCCTCTCGGAAGAAGGGCAGGCCAGGGCTGGCATCGAATGGGGATTTTCAGCCGATGTTAAGGGCTGAGGCCGCTGGCTCTATAGGGAGATCAGGCCCCAAACGGCTCCGTAAGGGTTAAAATGCCACCTTGCCTGTGACTCCAGACACAGTTTGAATAGCAGATAGTCACTTCGCTCAGACCTAGAACTTTCCCTGTGGGAAACCAGCTTAATAGAACCAAAATAAAGTTTCGATCAAAATAATTCAGAGCTGGATCCCTGTGAGACAGAGACTAAAGGTATGCACGTGAGTTTGGCTGGCGTCTCTGAACTGCCTGTGTACAGGAGACAGAACAGGGAAGACCCTGTGACTAACCACACACGCCCCGGTCTGTGCACACACACTCACACATGCATGTGCTTGTGCACACAGACACATACACATGTGCACAGGGATACATACATACGCATGCATGTAAATTACATACATGCATGTAAATGCATACATGTAAATTACATGCGTGTAAATTTGATCCTGTGTTGCTGACCCTACACTGGGAAACCCCACACGGTGCAGGCTGTGGAGCAGACCATTTCCACAGCTGGGTCAGATGCCAGGAGCCCCGGAAGGGCAGTCTACGGGGATCCGCGCGGCGTGGGCGTCCTTACCTTTCTTTCCGGCGACTCTATGATCTTCCAGTCGTTGAGTTTCAGCTGGTGCAGCTCGTCGAACTTCATGCTGACGTCCTCCACTGAGAGCTGCAGCATGTCCCAGTAGCCGGCCAGGTCCTGCGAGGTGGGTCTGGGCATGGCGCTGGGGTCCTGCGGACACAGGGGGACCCGTGGGCAGAGGGCTTGGGAGGCCACTCTTCCCACGGCACCTCTCGAGGGACGGGATCAGAGGGAAGCCTGGCTGATTCAAACACCCGTGCAAATATTTGGGGAGGCTTAACACAATCCCACAACAGTTTGCTTTAGTACAAGTATTTGCCGACGGTTTAAAACTATGTAGTTGCATCCGTTTACCGCACCGTGCTGGGAATACCGGGCTGCGAGCGAGAAGCAGGGGCCCATGTGAGGTCACCGTGAGTGGGTCATGCAGACGGGGCAGGGACACAGTGTCGGTGGTAAAGCAGTCACTGGCTTGGAGCTCGTCCTCTTCCTCTGTGTCTGTTTTCCAAGGGGTCTTAGCTCCGGTTCTGACGGTCAAGACACCTCAGGAAGGTCACCTGTGTCTGGCTTGCCCCCAGGGGAGGGAGGAGGGCGGCAAATCCCAGGAGAAGCAAAGTGCCCGCACTGAGGTCCCAGAGGCAGATGATGCCACCGGGGCACAAAGAGGATCTTCCTTTCTCTGCCCGGGGCCTGACGGATACGCAGTCCCCACCAGGTGCCCGCATGTAAGATTCAACGACTTTCCTGGGTGTGGCCCCTGATTCAGAGGTGGCTGTCTCGGATTGGGAGCCTTGAACAGAGAAATTTCTGGTGGGCAGACGCTCTCTGAACTGCGCACAGCTGCACCTGCTCTCAGAGGCTCAGGGAGGCACAACATGGACATGTCTGGCTGGGCGGAAAGTCCCTTGCACAGTTTGACTCTGGCAGCCTGAGCCCATCAAGGGCCCAAGGCTTGCAGCCGATACCCGGTTTCCCACTCGGGGGCCGGGACGGCGGCTCCTCTCCGGCACCACAAGGGGGCGACCTCGGGCCGCTCAGGCCGGGCCAGGCCAGCGGAGGCTCCACACAGGGGGCCCAGGACCTGGGGAGCCCGGCCCACGTGGGCGCCTCGGCCTCGGCTAGCTGTGCGCTGATGTCGCAGAAGAGGAATGAGACAGCACTGGTGCCCGCCGTCCAGGGCAGCTCAGGCTGGTGCGAGCAAGTCCCTACACCCAGAGGAGCCGGGTAAGGACTGCGAGTGTCCACGGGAGATGTTGTCCCTTCCTTCTGGAAGACCTTGCAAACATGAGAACTTCCTCCTTTTGTGGGTGTGGCAGGTGCTGCCTAATGGTGGTGGGAAGCCCAGCAGAGGCTCCTCCTGGGCCCCCAGGTGGGTGCTGTGCTCTGGTCACCTCCTCAAAGGGACAGTCACAATGGACACTCTCGGCAGCCACCTGAGGCTCCCGCCGGCCCCAGAGTGGGCGCGCACTGCCCCTGCCCCCAGGCTGACAAGCAGCTCAGCTCAGCCCCCAGCTGTGCTGCGCTGGCTTTGGTGTCACTGGGCACAGCCAGCAGCACCTGGTTCTGTGTCTTCTGCTCTCTTTGTGGGGGAGGCGGCCACATCTGCACCCACTGGGCATCCAGGCACAGTGATATGGCTATACATTTTTTTAAAAAGCGAGTGATGGTGACATGTGATCTGCTCTCTGCCAGCAGAGCAGCCCAGGTTCACCTGATCCTGCGCAACACGACACCACGTTCCTCAGTGGCCCGAGTCAGCTGCTTTAGGGACAACGACCCAACAGACCCCATGGAGGAGGCACGGTCACCCACAGGGACGTGACAATGGGATGTTCACACAGCTGCAGGTTCCCCTCCTGGGACTCCATGCTTTCCTGTCCTCTTTTTCTGCCGACTGTAACTATGTTAGAGGACACAGGTAACTCTTGAACTTCATGGTGAACTTTAATGGCGTGTACTGGAAAGTACCAGAGAAGGTATAGATTTTAACAATCCTGATGAAAAGACATGAACTGGTAACTCTGACGTGCTTGAGCTCCCTTTGATGGGGAAGAGCATGTCTGTGTCTCCTTGCAAACTAAAAGCAAAACAGAACAGAATAGCTGCGGCGGGAGGCCTATCAGAGACCTATTTGCATTTGACTGAAAATGTCTCATCTGAAAAAAAATCAATGTATGGATTATAAAATAGCCTATAAATAGCACTATTTATTTCTCATAAAATTAAGTGAATACTTTCTTTAGTCAGCTAAGGAAAGAATATATGTGTATATATTTGTGTATACATGTAAATATGTAGCATACATAAGTCTATTAACAAATATCTGCAAGTATATGTAAATATTTATTAATATGTATGTGTAAGTATATGTAAACATGTTACTATGTATATGTGAATATATATAAATACATATTTTCCTCCCTTTTGACTGCCAGGAAGAACCGAGCTTAATGCCAACTGTCTTCATGACTCAGTTGATGGTGCATTTGCTTCACTCTTGACTACAAAATATAGAGGCTAAACTGTTTCTAAAACTCCTTCAGATGTAGTTGCTTATGTGTTGTTTCCAGGAACCTCAGATCATTTTCTTTGTTTGTGACATTGGCTGTAATCGCAGTTTTCATCTCCTCTCTTCTGAGACTCTCTGGGACAAAGTCCAGCTGCAAAGATGTGACACCCCCCCCCGGGCCCCTCCCTGCCCGGCCCCACCTGCGCACCAGCAGGCCCCACAGCCCCGCCGTGGCACATGGAGACCAGGTGCCCGCAGCCTGTCCGCGCCGGAGCGGGAAGTGTCTCCCTGCGTCCCTCCTCCCGGTCCCGACCACGCAGGCGCGGTAAGAACCGCAGGACGTCTAGGACTGGCGGACACGCGACAGCTCAGCGGCGGGACCAGGTCCCCGGAGGTCACTTACCATGTTCTGTTGACAAAGCCAGTAAAACTGCTGGAATTTCTGGGACATCAGAAGCTGCGCGCTCCCCACCGCACTCCGGATCTTGCCGAGAACTGTGGGGAAACACGAACGGCGTCAAGACAGGGTCAGCTAAGCAGAAGCGGGAGGGAGGCGCGCGCACCGCCCCTGCGCGGGAGACCGGCTCTGGGTCTGCGGCCCAGAACACGCCCGGGCACCTGCCCGGCCCTCGACGCGCGGGGGTGGGGGGTGGGGGGAGTTCAGAGACCTCCAGACGCCACACGCCAGCATGTCCCTCATGGGCGCTGGGGGAAACTGAGGCCAGAGAGGCGGCCTGCGCTGCGGCCTCCGTCCTCATTTGGGACGTGCAGATTGTTTTCTGCGTGTGCGATGACCATGCCAGTCACAGTGTCAGTGAGGTAGGAAGACTCCATTTAATCTACAAACGATCCCTAGCTTGTATGACTTTATTTCAATAATCAAATAGTAATTTTCCTAAAAAAATAAACAGTACAGTCTTATCAATGGAAAGGGTTAACAAATGAAAGGATAGGTGGCTTCTGGATTTCAACTGGTCTTGGCTTTGTCCAAGAAACGTGGAAGGAAAACCCAGGCCTCCGCCCACTGGGCACCTCTGAGTTTCCGTTTCTCTCTTGCCCTGGGCTCACCGCCAGCTCCCGTCTGCGCTCAGCACTGTCCCCGTTTCAGAAATAATAGTTTTGGCAGATCCCAAGCCACAAGATCCTCAAAGCCACTCGGGAATGTTTTGGGATCCGTTTCTCACTGTACACCTGGGCCCATTCACCTGCCTAAGGGGCAATTCGATCGTCATTGCCTAGAGTTTGCTAAGCACAGCCAGCGGCTTCCCTGTCTCTAGCTTGTCACATGGGTGGGGGCCTGAGTCCTGCCTCGGCTCACAGCAGGTCTCCACGTGGCCCTTTTCAGCTGGGGACCCCAGGCGGCACCTCTCCTGATTCTCCACGCAGCTCGTCTCCCGCATCTAGCCAGAACGGACCATTCCACCTGCTCCTGCCTCACCTGCCCCTCGTGTTCTCTGCAGAGCACAGATCGCTGACCTGCACCAAACACCCCGAAGCTTGTGCCCACCCTGTTCTCCCGGCACGCAGCAGAGGAGGCCAAGCCAGGCTTGCACCTGCCGAGGAAAAGGGACTTTATCCTGAAGACTCGTATCTCAGAAGCAGGGGCCGGAGACCCGCCACCGCTTGCACGGGAAGACTCACGAACTTCACGGTGGAATCTTTGTGTATGTGGTGAGGCTTCACCAAGACACATGCAGACAGCTGGAGCTCCAGGGACCTCGATGATCTGCATGTGACTGTCCTGGGGTGTCTGGTACTGGCTTGGTCCTGACTTGCTGGGTTTGGGTGGAGCCAGAAACTCCATTTCTCCTAAATGCCCCAGTGGCGGAAGCCCCGAGCTCATTTCCAGTGGTGCAAACTGAGCTCCAGTGAACCCGGTTCCGACAGCTTTCTTCCATGGCCTACCCCCAACATTAGTGATTTGAACAACCCGTCTCAAAGCAATTGTTTAACACGTGCTATCAACGGGCAGTGAAGACCCTGACAGCTGACGTCGGAGCTGAGTCTGCTGCTGTTCTCCTTCCCCAGCCCGACGTCTGGGCACATCTCAGACAGCGCTCAGAGGGCTTCGCGGCCCTACGATAAAATGTGACGAGGCTCCCGAAAATGAAGTTCCCAAAATGACCTATTGATTCAAAAGAGTTTCTGGCATGTTGTGACATAAAAGAAGCCACCTACAAAAGTGTGCGTCATGCACCGCTCATTTTTCAGAACTCAATGTCTGGCATTATATGTCTAACATGTTCTTAAAACTGACATTCTCCTGGTTAGGACGACTCGGCTAAAGCGACTTCCCTATTTGTCTGCATTTTTTTTGTGTTTCTGAAACGAACCCAGGTTGTTTTGTTCCCCAGAGTTTTATTATGAAAAATTTTACACATGCAGAAAAATTAAAAGTATAACAAACACCTGTATCGCCCTCACTTAGAACCTGCAATTAGCATCGCCGAGTGTGTGCACATTCCCCGAGGCACGCAGAGGCCGACTGCGGCCAGATCGTCCTGTCACCACAGTGTCATCACAGTTTCCGAGCGCGTGATGGTCACTCCCTAGTACTACCCAATTCTAGATTGCGTCTAGGGTATTAAAAGAGTAAAAATAACCCATGACTTTTAATAAAAGTTAATAAATTGGACACTTTGGCATCCTTTCAGTTTTGTTTAAAAACAGAAGAGTGGTAGTTTGTCAGACATCTTGACACCCGGCCTGTGCCTTTTTGCAAATCCCCTATGAGAGAGGGTTGCTTTTCCTGTCCACAGCCCCATCTCATCCATTGCCTTGGATCTGATCTGCCAGCCAGACGGGGCACGGGGGGGGGCCAGGACGGGAGCCCCGGCCATGGGGGAGGACAGGGCGGGGAGGGGTCTGGCCAGGCTCCATCTTGCAAGTGCGGGGAGCAGAGGTGGAGGGTGGAGAGTCCGGGGCTGAGGAGGCCGGGGCAGGTGGCCAGGTTTGGGCTTGGGAGGGAGAAAGTGGAAGCTCTTCATCCTTTGCTCACATGTGACCCCCACGCTGAACACGTGTCTGCAGCCTCATCTCACTGACACTGAGGGGGGTCACCTTTGCTTTCGAAATGTTGAATTTCTATTTCTTTTGTATTCTATCACCTGCATAATTGATGATTTGTTTAATCAAGTTGTTGCTGCAGGAATACATAGAAGTGGGTGATTGAGTGCACTTGTTTTACTGGCTGTATACTTTCTCAAATTATAATTAAAAAGTCAATCAGTTTTATAATATTCCAAACTTAACCTCTAATTTTCACTTTCCTCTTAAAGTGGAATCCAACTGAACTATTAATACAAAGCACTTCAATTTATACTTTTGAGCTCAACAGGAATAGAGGTGTAACATCTTGGTATTGATTTAATGTAGTGCAGTTATTATAAACGGTATCAATTGAATATTGCTGGGAAGAGATAATGAATGTCAAAGACTGTAGCTGATGCCACAGCTGCTAATGGCAGGAGGGTTTTGCTGTTCAGTGAATGGGAATGATCCTATCTGATGCCGATAATGTAAATAGCTTCCTACAATTGCAGAGAACTTAGAGTGAAAATTCAATTTATTCTTCCACACTATATGTCCCTAATTGTGTCATAGTGTAGACACCTTTTCTCTCGAGAGCTTCAGATAAGGACTAATGCTCATCAGAATGCAAATTTACAAGGAATCTGATATAACCCTTGACTTCGATGCACAAAGAAACTTGATTAACATACTCGGCTCTTTTATTTCTCACGTGTCTTCTACAATTTCCGATTCTATCCAAATTTGCTGTGAAGTGCCAGGGAAACATTTACACTACCCTTTGGTTTCAAAATTTGAAGTGGGTTTTATTAGGATTTGCAGAGAGTTTGATGTTTGCACCTCTCTGATCTCTTGGGATTCCATGTGACTAATCCCACAGAGGGGAGTGGGTGAGTTACTGCTTCCAGAAATCTCCTTTCTGCATCTTAGGCTTCATGGTTTTCATGGTTTTGAGCACATTTTTGTGTGTGTTTTTAAATTGTGATATCATTGTTGTATATATTTTCGGGGTCCATGTGGTATTCCGATACCCGTGTACAGGGTGTGATGATCCAATTGGGGTAGCCATCACCTCAAACTTTACCTTTTCTCTGTGTTGAGAGCATTACTATTCTTCTCTTCAGGCTGTTTTGAAATATATAATAAATTATTAACTATTAATATAATTTCTCTACTGTACTAATGAACTTACAAGAACTCATTCCTTTTATCTAACTGTACTTTTCTACCCCTCAACCAATTTCTCTTCACCCTCCTCCCTTTCCTTCCTCCTTCCTCCTATAACTACCAATCCCCTCTCTACCTCCGCCAGATCGAGTTTGTTAGCTCCCACAGATAGCTGAGAACATGATATTTGTCTTTCTGTGTCTGCCTTCTTTCACTTAATATCCTCCAGTTCCATCCATGTTGTTACAAATGACAGAATTTCATTCTTTTTCGTGGCTGAATGATAGTCCACATCTTCTTTATCCATCCAACTGTTGGTGGGCACCTAGGCTGATCCATGTCTTGGCTATTGTGAACATGCTGCAATAAACATGGGTGCAGATGTGTCTGGGGTATATGCCCGGTAGTGGGATTGCTGGATCACAGAGTAGTTCTGTTTTTAGTTTTCTGAGGGACTCTGTACTGCTCTCCATAACAGCCGTACTAATTTACATTCCCACCAATAGTTTATGAGTGTTCCCTTTCTTTGCATCCTCACCAGTGTTTGTTATTTTTTGTCCATTTGATAGTAGCCATTCTAACTGAGGTGAGATAATATCTCATTATGGTTTTCATTTGCATTTAGTGATGTGCATATTTTTTAAATATACTTGTCTTTCTATTCAGATCTTTTGCCTGTTTTTAATCGAGTTATTTGTTTGCTATTGAGTTGTTTGAGTTTCTTATATATTCCAAGTATTAATCCTTTTGATGGATAGTTTGCAAATATCTTCTCCTATTATTCTGTGTTCAGATATTTACCTAACAATGTTTAAAGGTAAGATAACCTCAACCTGTCTTCACTCTGTTAATTGTTTCCTATGCTGTGAGCACACATTTCTTTTTATCCCCCAGTCTCCTCATGGCAATTTAGCTGTTGGGATGTCTGGAGACATCTTGATGGGCCCTTATCATGTCGTTAGCAAGACGCCTGGTCAGCTGGTGGCTTACACTGGCTTGATCCACACAAAGGCACATCCTTGGCCTGCATCCCCCACCAGACTGGAAGCAGTGGTATTCCATTAGGCTACACAGACACATTGATCCCCAAGGCTGGTAGAAGCCACTGTGCGCACAGCAATCTGTTCCGCTCAGACACTGTCACTATTTCTGACTCATCAGTCTGTTATCCTCTCTGCTGCTCTGAGGCGGCCTGGGCCAACTGTGGATGCAGGTGGTTTCCCTCTGGCCATGCCCTCCTCACCTCTTGTACTGAACCCGTGTTCTGCTCATTCTCAAGGTCATTCTCAAGGTCATCC